CCCCCACAGTGCCTGATGCGCAGGAACAGGCGAGGCTCTCTATATCGAGGCACATAAGCCGGAACCCGCACAGTTTTCCCTATGTAGGAGTACGCCTCAGTCAAACACTGGTGAGCGGAGATTGAATTATTCATCCCACGTGTACGTTGTTTCCTGAAAATGCCAATTAAAACACTGTTCAAGTAGGATCTTGAATATAATCATATTTATTCTGTGTCCATTAGGAATGTAGTGATCGGAAGAGCCAAGGAGAATGACGCAGACTTGAGCAACAGTGGTCAATTAGCGGCATGTAACTAAATGCACTTGGAGATACTTGTGCTTAATTAACATGCGTACTTCACAATAATCATGAAAGAACAAATCATCTGCCAAGGTGCGTTATCCTCCTTATAAGCCTGCCATCTCCCTTTCCGCCGTATGTCCCTATCCACCAACGCCCACCAATGCCAACAAAATTGCTCATGGAACGACGACGAAAACACTTATGAAAATACCAACGAACACGCCTACGCTTTCATATCCACTCGCACCGTTCACAAAATCCTCGACAATAAAGTATTATGTTTTTTTTAAAAGTTTTACTAGAGGTTTTACGGTACTCGCAACTGCATAAGGTCATATGAGCGCCAGAAGATTAGAGGTATTACAAGAGAGTAACAAACATAAAAAAGAAGAAGGGAAGATAAGGAGGATAGATGTTCGTTTGGAAAGAAGAAGCAAACCACACCATAGCACCCGCAAAATGCCCACAGATAATTATGAGTGCACAGTTTCTAAATGAGCCAGTGCGGACAAACAACGATTGTTAATTCTTTACTTTTCAACAACTTACAGCGTTTTATAATGAAGTGTAAAAAAGAAACAACATTCCAATTTATTCAGCCCATTCGGAAGCTTGTTTAACAATGGCGTACATAAATTATACATAATATCTTCATACATGATAAATGCATGAACAACACACAATATCATAAACTTTGTCAATCCGCACACTAATGATTAGATGGTTGCCGCTGTGCAGCGAATTGTTCTGGAACATACCTCCGAGATATTCGACGGAATACTGTGTTTTAGTAAGGGGTTTTACGAAATTAGGAAATATAAGTGCCGACGATAAGAAGTGCTCCTTGAGAGGAGAGACAAGGACGATTGATGTTTGACAGGAAAGAAGGCGCAAGTCACACTAGAGCACCTGCCAACTATCCAGGATGATGCTATGAATACATTTGGTCAAAGGTTTCATAGTTTAAGCCTAGACCATCAACGATTACTTCTGAGATAATTTTGATCTAAACCATCATCCTACAGTTACCTCTAATTGAAAGTCCAACCGAGACCATCATCCAATGGTCACCTCTCAAATAGTCTTAACCGAGACCATCATCCAACGGTTACCTCTCAAATAGTCTTGATTGAGACCATCATACAATGGTTACCTTTCAAATAGTCTTGATTAAGACCATCATCCAATGGTTACCTCTCAAATAGTCTTAACCGAGACCATCATCCAACGGTTACCTCTCAAATAGTCTTGATTGAGACCATCATACAATGGTTACCTCTCAAATAGTCTTGACCGAGACCATCATGCAGTGGTTACCTCTCAAATAGTCTTGATTGAGACCATCATACAGTGGTTACCTTTCAAATATTTTGACCGAGACCATCATACAATGGTTACCTTTCAAATATTTTGACCGAGACCATCATGCAGTGGTTACCTCTCAAATAGTCTTGATCGAGACTATCATCCTACAACCAAGTGCATGTTGCCCATTCGATACATTTGAGTAATTTGAATCAGCTGGGCCTGCCAGAATTTTCTTTTATGGAGGGGCAAAAACTGCCATTTTGGCACGATTCCATCAAATCCTCCAAGCAACCACCACTAAGTTTTGATTTTAGAGGATTTTCTTCATTTCAAATTGAGCCAAAATGTAGGGTTTATCCCTCCATAAAGCAAAATCTGATCTACCACGGCTCAGTTCGACTCAAGTCAATCATCATTGTGCACTGGGTCTAAGGTTACCCCTGGCGCTCATATGACCTTATGAAGTTGCGAGCGCCGTAAAACCTCTACTAAAACTAACACTTAAGGTTACCTCTGAGGTCCGAGTAGGCCGTGACGGCTGCAACAAACAACCAGGTCGTGACGAGTGACCACATCACGGCCAGAGCCTGCTCGATGTGGCGCTCAAGGAGAAAGTACTCCTGGAAAGCAATCAAACCACAATCGGTTTACAGAATTATTACTTTTTAAGAAATCAAATCACGACAGGTGTACTAAATATTATGCATTTTGTTGATTAAGCCAGCTTTTGAACTGTGCTGATTTGACCTAACTGGAGCACATAAAATATATGTATAACCAATTCGCTTCTTCCCTCCTTCCATATCCTCTCCATCTCCCACATCCTCCTTTTCAACACACACACACACACATACACACACACACACACACACACACACAC